AATGGTTTAGAGGCCATGGAATTCTTTCTTAATCAGAGAGACAGTTTAGTTCCAAGTACTACCTGTCTGAGTGATTTAACCAAATTAGTACTCCATTACAATTACGTTTTGTTCGGATCTGATTACCATCTCCAGATATCAGGTGTGAGTATGTGTTCTAAGATGGCCTAGAGTTTTGCATCTCTATTTTGTGGTATGTTTGAAAAACAGTTTATTCTAAATTCTGCTTTGAATTTGTATTTCAAACTTATTGTTCTATGTAAACGATACATTGATAATGTGTTTTTAATATGGAGTGGTACTGAATCGGAGCTATTAGAATTCTATTCTTATGTCAATAATAGTTCTAGTGCTTTAAAGTTCACCATGGAATTCCACAAACACAAAATGAATTTTTTTTAGATGTACTTGTAAGTTTGACTGCATCTGGTATACAAACAACACTATACCAAAAACCCACTGATCGTAAAATAATTTTACATGGACATTCGTACAATCCAGTACCATTAAAACGTTCGTTACCTATAACCATGGTGTTTTAAAACTATTTTAGCTTCACGCAGAGCTGATGCAGATGTTGTTGTTACAAATGGGTTATATGCACGAAAGTGTTGTTCAGCCACTGAAATCTCATGGGGAAAGATTGATGTGACAATTTTCAGTTTTATAAAGGCCTTTTTTACAGCATCGATGATGTAGATTTATATTTAGTTTAACAACAAAACATCAGTTATTCTGCCTAGCCTGCTGTACTGAGCTGAAATTGCTTTTATGTTCACATCGGGTCATTTCTGAACAATGACAGCATGTGACGCGTTCCCTATATTGTTAACCTTGCTACTCTGAATATTCGCTGTGAAATAGCATGTAAGTGTAGCTGCACGCTGCTGACCAACAACTACATACACTTCTAACTGGCGAATGATTTGAACTAGTGGGTTGCGTTCGTGATTTCACGAGGCGTGACTTTGAAACACAGTCCCTCCCCTGCCGTCCTAAACTAATATGCTAACCAATTAGCATTTTGGCTCATCACTTACAACTGCACCTTTAAGTAAGTGTAGGTAGCTTAGGTTGGTGGATATTTATTAACGTTCTGTACAATAAAATAAACCTCAACAAACAGTAAATGGGGCAGCATGCTGGCTAGTCATTAGCACTATCGCCTCACAGCAAGAAGGTTGCAGGTTTAAGTCTCGGCTGGGCTGGTTAGCACTTCTGTAAGGAATTTGCATGTTCTCCCCGTGTTAGCGTGGGTTTCCTCTCGGGGCTCTGGTTTCCCCCACATTTGAAAGACGTGCTATAGGGGAATTGGAGATACTAAATTGGCTGTAGTGTATGAATGTGTGTGTGAATGAGTGTGTATGGGTGGTTCCCAGTACTCTGTGTATATATACATTTAAATGGAGACGCCTTAATAAACTTATTGGAAATTTCACAAGAAAAACAATGTTGTGCTTGGTTTTAATCGCAAGTTTATTCTTTCATGAGTTATATACTAGCCCCCTCACATATACTAATGTGCTACAAACAGAACGTTAAAATCTACACCAATTCCCATTTTATTAAGGTGTATCCATATGAATGGCCCACCCTGTATATCAACTCAAACTAAATTGCTTGGGGCTAAAAAGTTTTTAGAAATGACCCACATACGCTGAAAGTTACTTTTGCCTGAACTATCAAATAAAAGTGTCTTTTTTCATTAGTCGTTCACTTGTGAGTTGCCAGGCACGTTTTGACTTAAAAGGGCGCATATCTCTTCACAGGCCTCTGCAGCTATCTGAATCAAGAGCTGTCATTATTCCAAGCCTTTAACTTTCTCTCTCCGCTGTGCTTTGATGCGCTGCCAGAACACTGATCCTGACTTTGTTTTCATTGACAAAATAAGATCCTTTGCGGTCTTTGACCTGAGAGCCATAATCCACATTTCTATAAATAATATGTCAATTTGTTACGAAACGACTATCCTAACAGGACTGTGCAGCATTCATTAATTAACAATGGCTTTTAAAAAGCAATTACATTTTGGATCAAAATTAAACTTGCATGCAGGTATGAAAATTCTAAGTAGAAATTTGTGTATGCATATCAGAATTTCAAAAAATCTTTTTAAGGCAATAAATTGACTCTTTCCAAATAAAAATGTCTACTATATTTTAAAGCATCACTACAATAACTCCGGTCAAAAAACTATTTCTTTCTTTCTTTCTTTCTTTCTTTCTTTCTTTCTTTCTTTTTTTTCTTATTTAATAATATTACTTAAAACATTCCAATACAGGCCTAGAAAGCCATTACAATCAAAAGAGTAAGGTTGAAATCAACAAATAAGCACATCTAAACGTGCAAACTGTACATGAATTTGATCACTCTTAATAAATTATATTAAAACGAATTATGACTCTTACAATGTATTGTTATTACGTACCGAAATGCCATTGTGCTAGATAGAAGTGGCACATTTAGGACTTAAAATAATCATCCATTGTCATGATCACCAGCAATCTAGTAGCTGCGGATCGCTTAAGGACTACAAACCCGCCATTTATGGACTACAATATCCAGTCATGCAACACACACATTTTTTCCACAATAAAAGCAGTTTTTGTAATAATAATGAAGTTTTAAGTCCTGATTTTATAGTACAGTGACCTCTTAAATGCCAAAATATCATGTGAAAATGTACTTGTCAATGTCTGACCACTTTAAGTGATACAGTGGATGTAAATATATGAGTAGTACATAATTTATTTTTATATGAATAGTTATTGGGCGGGACGATGGCTCAGTGGTTAGTACCGTCACTACACAGTAAGAAGGTCACTGGTTTGAGTCCAGGCTGGGCCAGTTGGCATTTTCTTTCCATGTTTGAGTGGGTTTCTGGGTGCTACGATTTCCCCCACAGTCCAAAGAAATGCGGTACAGTTGAATAAACTAAATTATCTGCAGTGTATGAGTATGTGTGGGTGTTTTCCAGTACTGGGTTGTGGCTGGAAGGGCATCTGCTGTGGAAAAATATGTTGGTATAGTTGGTGGTTTAATCTGCTTTAGCGACCCATGATGAATGAATGAATGGTTATTTATTTATTTATTTAGTTTTTAATGGGTGATTGCCAAATAATACAGAATTTTCCAAGAATGTTTTAAAGAGAGCCAAGTGATATGAAGCTGGCTTGCAATATGGAAACCTTCAGATGATTAATTAAGATGTGGGTTCTTGCCAGGGCTGCCAGGTTTTCACTATAAAAGTAGCCCAGTGGCCATTCAAACAATAAAAACTCAACTAAAGTCCAACCAAACAATTTTGTTTTTGCCTCAGTTTCCTATTTTTACTGTTCAGAGATGCTCTTCTGTATACCTCAGTTGTAACGAGTGGTTATTTGAGTTACTGTTGCCTTTCTGTCAGCTTGAACCAGTCTGGCCATTCTCCTCTGACATCTGGCATCAAAAAGGCATTTGCGCCCACAGAACTGCCACTCACTGGATATTTTCTCTTTTTCAGACCATTCTGTCTAAACCCGAGAGATGGTTGTGCATGAAAATCCTAGTAGATCAGCAGTTTCTGAAATACTCAGACCAGCCTGTCTGGTACCAACAACCATGCCATGTTCAAAGTCACTTAAATCACCTTTCTTCCCCATTCTGATGCTCAGTTTGAACTGCAGCAGATCATCTTGACCATGGCTGTTTCTCAATTCCAAGAACGCAGAGAACAGTCTTGTGTTCTTGTGGAGACCGGTCTTGCCAGGTGTTCTCGTAAGAACGAACTCGGGAGATCACAGAAACAAAGTACGCGTCCTGTGAGTAATGAGAGGCTGCGTTCTTCTTGATGGTCACGTGACCTTCACGTATTTTTAATGGTAAATATTTTAAACGTTACAGCATTCATACAATGATTTATTGTTTTTGCCCTTTTAAATATATATACTACGCATAAATACTTCACAAATACACGTTGCACAATATAAATGAAACAGATTTTAATACGAATTTCAGCAAACAAACACCCTTAACGTGTTTATTGCTTTATTAAGATGTCCATGGTAATGTTTATATTCGCCATCTCATTTAGGGAAACTCCTAAGATAAATAAGTCCTATCTCTGATCCTTAATAATTAAATCTAAATAAAATGCTGTTCTTCCCACCTCCAGTCGCAATGACTTCTGGGACATCTAGAGCGAGATCGGTGCACATGTCTGCATGGATGCATCCTCTTTATATCAAGAACAAATCCGTGAAGTTTCATGCATCCTACGTACTTGTGGTCTTGAGTATTGGAACTGAACTTTGGCAGCTGATGATGTGAGAACACAAGGATGCAAGACCACTGAATAACGCATTTTGAGAAACAGCCCCAGTCTTGAGTTGCTGCCATGTGATTGGCTAATTATATATTTGCATTAATGAGCAGTTGGACAGTTGTGCCCAATAAAGTGGCCTGTGAGTGTATATATAGATATATATGCAAAATAATATGAAGCACAGATTAAAATAGAACATTTTGATGTTTTATTGTGGAGTCTAACAGCATTGAGGTACAGAAATTCAAATTAGTTATTATGTAAAATACCACACTAGTCTTCATTGCATAAATAATTCAACACAATTTTTGTTAAAGTGGAAAACTTTATAATTTCTTGGGTCCAAATGATTCAAGTTCACTTGAAATCGCTTGACATCTTGCAATGTGACTCTTGCATTTTCGCACATTGCATGAACGAAGCTGAAACCATATATTGTACAGCCCCACCAATTACATACCTATGAATAAATATTTTATAATCACTGACTTCAATATTCTATTTCTTTATTTTTTGGGATGGAGATGGAGAGCATATGGTGGGATTAAAAGGCAATACAAAGATTTGTTTTACATCGTTCAGTTTTAAGTTAATAAATTAGGTTATTAAAGATTTTTTTTTTATAATTTCAAAAACAAATCAGTGATTACATTTTGAATTAGAAAGAAATCCTGAAACCTGCTCTTCCCTCCATCAGGAGAAGTAAATGGCACGCGGTCTCCTCCTATGAAGAAGCCCGGCAAAGACTACCAGTACATCAAGGAAATAGCCGTAAACAAGCATCACAACAACAAGAGGACCAGGATGTACAACACTCAGGATGATCCCAAAACACCTCATCCCAAACAGGTGAGTGTGCATCTATAACAAAAACCCAACAGCAATCTTGAGCACGCTGAAGAAAACCACACTGTAAAAAAAAAAAAAAAAAAAAAATTGCTGCCTTGAAATTTTAAGTTGAGTCATCTAAACTTAGATCAATCAAACTGACTAAAAATATATGAACTTTGTATAACTTAATAAATTTAGTTGAAACATGATTAACCTATTCAAGTTAAAGCAACATAAAAAAAATTGTTGTCTTTACTCTTCGTCATTAATAAAAAGGCCCTGCAGATGAAAAGCCTACAGAAATAAGGCCTCATATTCACCTTGAGTTTCATTGTGTTCAGTACGGCAGTGCCCTCTTCTGGTTATCAGACTAACACACCACACACACAACAGAACAGTCTCGCACAACACACACATATTCACACAGATTCCCTCTTTTCTCAATCATCTAAACATTAATTTTCCTAACACGGTTTTCTGGGGTTCAGATTTACGGTATGTCCTTTGTACAACCCTCTATATTTGCTGTCGCTATAATTCTGTGGTCTGAGGTTGTTTGTCAGTGTATAATTTATTGCTTCAGTATGTTATTTTCTTGATTGGACTGCTGTAAGCTGTGTTTTTTTTTTGTATTTCGACTCTTGCTTGTGCCATTTTCGCTGTGTTTTCAGTTGAAAACACATGATAATTTCCTTAGTTACCTAATTAACCAGCAATTTCTGATGTCCGAAACACCGCCCAGTGATAGCACGCAGACTTGATTCAATTGCCAAGGCAGAACAAACAGCTGCCGTCTATGCTGAAATGAGGAATGAGATGGTGCTTGTCGGATTTGGCCATCGCACAAATCCACATAGAGTTAATTAACTTTTCTTGGACTTGTACCATGCTTTACCTGGACTCTTCAGTCCTTAGCCAAGTGACCACTGCAACAGGACCTCACCCCAATCAGCATCTTTATCAGACATCATCTACTATTCTGAGCCAATAGACAAATTGTGCTGCTAATTTACTTTAGTTGGCAAATCATTTTTCTTTCTTTTATTTTTTTAAAGTTGAACTTGAAGTAAAAGGAGGATCTGTTTTTTTTTTCTGAGATATAGAACTTGTTTAGCCTTTAGTCATTTAGTCCAGTGGTTCTCAATGTAGGGGTTGTTAGACAATGACAAGGGGTCGCTTAGTGATTTTCAAAACTCAAATAAATTTTATTAAACTATTAGAATTACCATATTTTATTCATAACCCACTGTAGATATTGTTACGTTAAAAAAGAAGCAACAACATACAAACCTTTAGTTTTTTATATTAAAATTAAATTAAACTAGTAATTGACTATTAAAAAAAAAAAAAAACATACGGTTTTTAGTCTGTTCCAGTTTTGTTTTTAATATGCTCATGTTTATATACTGTATGCCTATAGTTATGTGTGCAACGTTTGTATATTTACTGTATAACCACCTTGAAAAATGGGGGGGTCGCAAGTTACTGACATTATTATTTTGGGGGTCGATGGCTGAAAAGTTTGGAAACCCCTGATTTAGTCGACAGGGCATTACCTAATTACCTAAGTATTGACAGATTTGCATACATTTCTAGGCAGAAGTCTGTACTTGACAGAAAGTCAGATTCTAAATAATTCTTACATCTTGTTGTCACATTAAAGGTTTTAAAGGGTCACGAAACACCAAAACACATGTTTTGAGCTGTTGACAGTCATATATGTGTCCCACACTGTTAAAAAGACCATTAGGACACGTTTATTTCACTAAAAAGTGAAAATTTGTTGTTTTTGCGTTATTTCGAGCAAATTCGTTCTTCTGGTCTGAAATGAATTTTTAAAGCTGTGTCACGGCCATGAGATCTTAGCATGTATACCAGCGTGTGGACTGGCTGTCTGTACCTGGGAGTGTGCTGCATTCGTTAATGAGAAAGACTTGGCTCAAACCAAGCAGTGCGCTCTATTGTGAATGCGGTGCAACTTCATTAATATGCATGATAGCTTCGAAGACTGTTTGTACCTGATACAGTGTTCAGACGGCAGAGAGAGACACCACATTGTGTTGCCAAAACAAGTGGAAGAAGAAAAATTGTTTGGAGAAACGAGTCGTCAGTGTTGCCTTTATTATTTGCTGCATCGAAGGTTTTGTTTTCATTTTCCCACTATGAGAGCGCAGCTGGACTCGTGTGTGGATTACAGTGCACAGAAATACGTGCCTATGGAACATTGTTTACCCGAGAGCTTTTCTCATCTGGAAATGGTGAAATCCGGATTTGCCACTCGTCTCCTTTTAAAAAAGACGCATCTCTAGTTGGTGTTAGTTGTCCTGTCTCTAAAGATTTGGTAAGTAAGCGATCAGTGGTCTTTGTTTGTTTATACAGATGGCAAAGTTAGTTGGTATGGTCAGCAGTGCTCTTTCACTGTTTAAAGACACACCTTAGTCAAATGATTTCTAAGTTACTAAAGTTTACAGTACGTTAATATCACTACAATATTACAGACTAATAGATCCGCTGTAAATGCTGCTCTCCGAGTGTAAACAAAACAAATTATTACCCTCATCCCATTTTGTGACAGGAATAACACACAGCTTTCTGACGCTACCTGCCGATTGCATCTAAGTTTCTGAGAAATTAGTTTTTTTTTTCTCTCATTCGTCGTGCGGTATCAAACATTGCATTAAAAATACACGCTTACAGCAATTCCTCGAATCAAATATCTCTTTTGTCACGAGGGGCATGAATGAAATTACTAAATGAAAGAGCCAAACTGCAGTTAAAGTCCACCATTTAATAATTCGTCAAATAATTTGATTACTGAAATCCATGTAAACACAGTCACTGTCTTTCTGCCCGGCATCTTTGTGTTTGTTTTGCCTCTGTGAAAATCAGCGTGTGCTCAAATCGTAACTTCTATTTTTATGCACATTTTTTTTTGCACTTTCCCTCCTTCGACACTCAACCCTAAACAGAGCTGGGCATGCCCACTTTCCTGACTTTTTCCAAACTAGAGGTGTGAAAACACCCTGCTGAAACAGGGGGATTTTGTGGCTCTTTAAGGCTGATTTATACTTCTGTGTCAAGCGCACGCGTATGTTATGGCGCTGACTCATAGCCCTGCACCGTGGCCATCGGCGTCGCTGACGCGCACCTCGCAAAAAATGTAACTACACGTCGCAACGACGCGTAGCACAAGCTCTGTGATTGGTCGGCTTGGTAGCACTGACGAGTCTGAGCGGCACTGAGAGCCACCTGAGCGTCGGGAGCCCAATGGAGCGATTGTTTACAAGTTTAGAGTCCCGTGAAGGAGGTCATGATGGAAAGTTTTGTTTTGTGTTTACCTCATAGTTAAAGTTGTTGCACGTCCGCCGGTTCCTGCCTCAAAATGCGCGAGTTTGAGCCACTTGTACATCCCGGAAGCGTTCAGAAACCACAAAACAGCTGAGAAGAAACTCGACACAGAGACACATTAACACCTCACTGCCAACTAGTGTTTTGGAAGTGTTAATGCAGACCAACAGAGACAGCGCGCAGAAGTATAAATGCACAGCTACGCACGTTGCATGCGCAGTTGGTTACGCCGGTCACTTAACACAGAAGTATAAACCAGGCTTTAAGGCACGGGTGTCAAACTCAATACCTGGAGGGCCGAAGCCCTGCACAGTTTATTTCCAACCCTGCTCCAACACACCTACCTGTAGGTTTAAAACAAGCCTGAAGGACTCAATTAGTTTGATCAGGTGTGTTTATTTAGGGTTGGAACTAAACTGTGCAGAGCTGCGGTCCTTTTGGAACTGAGTTTGACACCTGTGCTTTAAGGTATCCATATAAATGGCCCACCCTGTAGTTTGATTAAAGTGTTTACATGTTTACACTCTGAGAGCAGCATTCACATCAGATCTTTCAGTCTATAATATTGTAATGATATCAACGTACTGTAAACTTAGTAACTAAATCATTTAGACTAAGGTGTTTTTAAACACTGAAAGAGTACTGCTGACGATACAAACTAACTTTACCATTTGAATAAACAAAAAAAAAAAAAACAACAACTGATCAATCACTTACCAAATCTGTAGAAACAAGACAATCAACACCAACTTAAACCGTGTCTTTTTTAAAAGGAGACGAGCGGCAAATCCGTATTTCACCATTTCCAGATGCAAAAAGCTCTCGGGTTAAAAATGTTCTGTACAAACGCATTTCTGTTGCATACTGTATTCCACATGTGGGTCCAGCTGCGCTCTCATAGCAGGAAATGAAAACAAAACCTTTGTTGCAGCACATTTATAAACACAAGACTGACGACCCATGTCTCCAAGCAATTCTTGTTCTTACACTTGTTTTGGCAACACAATGTGACATCTCTCTGCCGACTGAACACTTTAACAGGTAAAAACAGTCTTTGAAGCTATCATGCATAATAATGAAGTTGCACCTCATTCACAATAGAGCACGCTAATTTGAACCAAGTCTTTCTCATGAATTAAGGCAGCACACTCAGAAACAGCACAATGTACTGGCCAGTACAGACATCCACTCTCCACGCTGGAATACACACAAGGATCTAATCGAGCTAGCCCTGTACGTTTGGGTACCCTATGGTTATTAATTTTGGGGCCCTAGCTTGCTCTAAATTGTGAAGTATTGCCATTGCAAACCGCCCCACAAGGATTATATTGCTTATTAAATGCAATCAATGAAATCAAAAAGTAAAGATTGATTTCGTCTACTTAATAACTGTCCAGATTAGTTGGATGATTTAAAAAAGCACTTTTTTTGTCAACGAGCAGCTTTGAAAATTAAAAATGAAGCAATCTTTAATAAAGGAACCAGTTATTCTTACTTTAAATCCTTCTGGAGTTTTTAAAACATATACAATTAATTTGGCAAACAGATTAAAGACTCTATAAAGATTATAGATTGAGTTTCTTTATAAATTCCAAAAGCCAAAACCTTGCATAAACTGACAGTGAACAATAATTAGCCAAAAGTGAAAATGCATTACTTAATAATAAAATATACATTCTGAACTCATTAAAAACTCAAAACAACAGCAACAACAACTAACCAATAAACATTATTGCAAAGATTGATCCATAAAAAAAAGCAAATAAATATAAAAATATATATTGATATAAAAAGGGACACAACAAATATTGGGTTAATGTTAATACCCAAACACAAACTTTATTATTCCCTTCAGTCTCCTTCCCTGTTGCGTACATTTGAGATGCAGGGTCAGGAGCTTATATTGAACTTTGATTATTCGATTAGGACATAACTTTTATAAACATGTCTCAGGAAAAAAAAATATTACCAGTGTGCAAAATATGTCAATAATAGACACTTCAGTACTATTGCATTTCAGTGAAATAAGTTTTAGACTAAAAAACGGGTCCTATAAGTAGACGACGTTTATTAATCTGTAATTGCCTGTTTTCTATAAATGTGCTATTAGATTGTCTTTAACATCATCATTAGCATTTAAAAGTGATGCTAAAAATGATTTTGTGCTCGTCTCTTCTCGTCAATCATTTCTTGACCCTTTAAATATATGTATTTTAATTGAAGCCTTTTGATGCAAAATCACTCCACTTGTCTAAAAGACGTCAAGTTGTTAAAGCTAGAATATGACCAGTGCCTGAAAAAAAACAATGGTTTTTCATGTTGTCTTAAGGACATCTTAAACACATTGATCTAGAAAACAATCCTAAGTTCTCCCATAATTTCCTCTTCGATGAGCATATTCTATAGCCGCTAGTGAGCAGTAAATCGTTTGGGGGGGAAAAGACAATATATGTGACCATCAACAAACAGACAACAATAGCTGCCCTATGAAGCACACTGGGTCTGGTTTGGCCGACCTGAAAGCAACTAACTACAAAAAAAAGAAAAAAGCGGCTAAATGATATGTTGATAAAGCGAATGGATGTTGGAAAGTCCTAAAAAAAGGTAGATGCAATAAAAAGAAGAAGCCAAAGCAATAAAAATTCAAACCAGTGATAATAGCAGGGTAATAAAAAGCCAAACCGAATAAACAACTTTTCTGTGGGGTTTGTAAATCAGTAGCGTAACCATCACACATCCCATGAAAAGCAGACATTCAAGGAGAATGTCAGGGTGACGGCATGTCCGATGACAGCGGGGGGACTGTTCACTGCTTTGTGATGGATCACTTTTCATCCGCACGATACGGATAAGATCCCTGGCAGGCCCTCTTCCCCAGTGCCCTCTAATCCCGGGCCAAGCAGGGAGCAGCCATCATGAGAGATATAGGGAAAAAGAGAAGGATCGGGAGACAGGAATGGTCTTTGATGCCGATGCCTGTCCTTGCAGAGAGGTGGGGAGGCAGAAGCAAGCCAGCAAATTAGCTCCAGTACGAGATTAATATCAGCTCCAGAATGTTTCATGAAGCCGCCGGGCTGCTGTTAGACTCTTACTTTTGTGAGTGTTTCTTCAAGGTTTTTGATTAGAAATAACTTTTTGTTAGAGGTCACATTGACTCCTTCTGTTACTGTCTTCACTTATTGTTATGATGGATATTTAAAGAGTGAAATAATCATGAACAATTTTAATATTAATCATTTAAAATATATCATTTTTTAAATTAAATTAATATACACTTACCGGCCACTTTATTAGGTACACCTAGTACCGGATTGGACCCACTTTTGTCTTCAGAACTGCCTTAATTCTTCGTGGCATAGGTTCAACAAGGTACTAGAAATATTACTCAGAGATTTTGGTCCATATTGACTGGACAGCATCACACAGTTGCTGCAGATTTGTCGGCTGCTCATGCATGATGCGAATCTCCCATTCCACCACATCCCAAAGTTGCTCTATTGATTTGAGATCTGGTGACTGTGGAGGCCATTTAAGTACAGTGAACTCATTGTCATGTTCAAGAAACCAGTCTGAGATTATTGACGCTTTATGATGTGGCACGTTATCCTGCTGGAAGAAGCTGTGGTGTTGGCACAATGCTCAGTTGGTACTAATGGGCCTACAGTGTGCCAAGAAAATATCCCCCACACCATTACACCACCACCAGCAGCCTGAACAGTTGATACAAGGCAGGATGGATCCATGTTTTCATGTTGTTGATGCCAAATTCTAATGCAACCATCCGAATGTTGCAGCAGAGCATTTTTCCAATCATCTATTGTCCAATTTTGGTGAGCCTGTGTGAATTGTAGCCTCAGTTTCCTGCTCTAAGCTGACAGGAGGGGCACCCAGTGTTGTCTTCTGCTGCTTTCTGGCACATTCAAATCAAGACTGAAAACACATCTGTTTAGCTGTGCCTTTACTGAATGAGCACTGTGCTGCGTCCGACAGATTGCACTATCATGTTTTTCTCTTCTTCTTCATTCTTTTATATCACATTTTACCTGTTTTTATGTTTTGTTTTGTTTTTACGCATTTTTATTATTTGTTTTTATTTTACTTGTTTCTTTAATTCTTGTTTATGTAAAGCACTTTGAATTGCCATTGTGTATGAAATGTGCTATATAAATAAACTTGCCTTGCCTTGCCTTGCTTTACCCCATCTGCCTCAAGGTTGGACATGTGCATTCAGAGATGCTCTTCTGCATATCTCGGTTGTAAAGAGTGGTTATTTAGTCACTGTTGCCTTTCTATCAGCTTGAATCAGTCTGACCATTCTCTGTAAACCCTAGAGATGGTTGTGCGTGAAAATCCCAGATGATCAGCAGATTCTAAAATACTCAGACCAGCCTGTCTGGAACCAACAACCATGCCCAGGCCCGGATTGGCTAATCGGGAGGACCGGGAGAATTCCCGGTGGGCCAGTCCGTTTTTTTGGCCGCGAGGGCCGGTGTCCCTAGCTCTAGAATCTGTTGCTCTCAGCAGTCACACTTTTTAAATTAATCGATTTATTTACTTGACCACAGTCTTCTTATTCATTATTTTACCGCAGCTCTGCTCTTTTTATATATTACCAGCCTACAGGTTAATAATGCTATAAGTCACTTTTCACTGTACAACCGTTGTGGTCCAGTGGTTAGCACGTTAGATTACAACGTCATCGACCCGGGTTTGATCCTCGTCTGAGTATGTTATTATTTTCATTTTTATTGTTGAGACGTATAATACTGTTTGGGTTGTTGAACATTTGAAGTTCTAAAGCAGCTGTTTTCTCAAAAAAAGACGTGATAGTGTGATTAGAAACTGAATTGGAAATTACCTTATTTTAATATAGTCAGTCGTGAACTGAGGTGGGCCGGTCTGAGGCTTGAAACTCCAGGGCTGAAAAGGAGTCCCACTCTGGCCCTGACCATGCCACATTCAAAGTCACTTAAATACCCTTTCTTCTCCTTTCTGATGCTTGGTTTGAACTGCAGCAGATCGTCTTGGCGATGTCTACATGCCTAAATGCATTGAGTTGCTGCCATGTTATTGACTGATTAGAAATTTGCGTTAATGGGCAGTTGGACAGGTTTACCTTTTATTCTCAAGATCTGGGGTAAACTATCTGCTTCTGACCAGTAGTAATATTTAACAGAGAATAAAGCACATAATCAGCACCTGAGGTGATTATTGTCATAGTAGTTTATGCTGTTGTTCTGCCATGACATAGCAGTAACAGAAATCTTCTCTAAAATAGAAATTGTGCATGTCGCTGTAGTGGATGGTTACGGCAAAAACTCCTTTTAACATGGAAAAACAAACTTATTTTAAAATAAAACAAACCTTTTAACATGCAAAAAAAAAAAAAAACTTTATTGAGCGTTGCAACATTGTGTCGCTTGAAGTTAAAACACTGTGTAAGATGTTATGTCACAAACATGTCAGATGCTATATGCTATAAATATGCACTTAGATATACTGTATGTTAGGGCTGGACAATATTGGGAAAAACTGACATTGCAATTTATTTTTATACAATATATATTGTGATTTTCATAATCAAATGTAAATAAACACTTTATAGTCTTATCTTTTATGCCTAAATATTTAAAATTGACTTAAATTGTAAAAATGCTTTGGTAACTTTATTGTTAAAAGTTGCACACTCATCAAATCATGAGTGTTTTCAAATGTGGCTACTGGTCATTTATAATACTGGTTCGACATTGCATATCCTGCGATGTGACTATTGCGTATATTGGGATATCGATACTGAAACGATATATTGTGCAGCCCTGTTGTATGTCTACATCTAGACCTTGTTGATCAACAAGTTAGACTCAATATAAACAATGTATGCATGCAAATATTAAACGAAGTATAATAAATCTTACATTACATATATTTATATGTGTGTTTTTGTATTTACAGAGCCAGTGTCAACAGGAGCTGGATAAAGTGTTAGAGAACATCTCCCGAATGGCGTTCCATGACAACAAGGGACCTCTGGAGAATCTTTACGACCTGAAGTTCCCCAACTGTGACAAGACAGGACAGTACAACCTTAAACAGGTGAAATGACCAAAACTTACCTCAGCTTTTTAAAGAGATCTTCATCTTTGCAGTTACAATCTGCGATAGCTGGCTTATGCCCATTTTAACCAGCCATCTTGGTTTTCCAATTAATATAAATCACACGAGTCACTGTGTAAATGAAATTTAAATAGCGTATGAATACTTTGGAAGCCTGTCCTGGCCATTGTGAATTTGAGGAGTTTTGGCTGGAAGGTAAGCACAAGAAGTCATTTGAATGATGGCGGGTGTTAATTTCACTGTAGGGCAATAGGAAAATGAGACATTGCTCAACCTTTCATTCTGCAGCGGCCCGCTGTTTTATTATCCAATTCCACATGGAAGGTTCAATAATGACACAAAGATGGAGCCAAAGAGAAAGTGTGTATAAAACATTCCCATATTCTCTACAGAAGGCTGTTTTATCAGATCCAAGGCAACCGTGTCTGAGTTGAGAGTTACAAGCTAATGAACATTTCGCTGACTGACCAAACTGTCTGTGGGGGGGCTTGCTTTTGTTTTTAGAGACATTCTCAGAGGAAAGAGAATGACAGATGAGATCTCTCTACTGTTTTCTGGTTTTTAACCTTAATGACTTTTATATCTCTTTTTGATGAGATGAAATGGGAAGCGAACGGCTTGTAGTTTTTGTTTTAGAGGATGTGCTCATTAAGTCTTCAAGTCGAAGTCATAAATCTAAATTGAAGTCTAAATCCAATGGTTGGCTGTTGGACAGTGTTAGGCCGTCAGTGAGCTTCTGTCAGGCTAATTTGTTTGGTAGTCTCACATAAGTTTGCCCGATTTAGCATGGCGTTAGACATTGTTAAAGACAAATATAATCAAAGAGGCGGCAAAGCTCCAAAAAATACCAGTTTATTAAGTTAAAAAAGGTAACAAAAGCCCTCGTTGGTTAAAGAGAGCTATCTGATTGGCTTTCAGCTCAAGTGTGTCTCATGCCTCCTTTTGAGTGAAGGTCCTGGTTGTTACATCGCCCCCCTAGGGGCTGGCTGCAGTATGTCATAAAGCCCACCTCCAGCCTGGTTTATACATCTGCATCAAGTGATCGGCGTGACCCAGCATGCAATGTGCATAGCTGTACATAATAATAATAATAATAATAATAATAATAATAATAATAATAATTCCTTACATTTTATATAGCGCTTTTCTGGGCACTCAAAGCGCTTTTTACACAATGGGGGAATCTCCTCATCCACCACCAGTGTGCACCATCCAATGGCAGCCATTTTGCGCCAGACCGCATACCACACACCAGCTGATTGGTGGAGAGGAGACAGTGATGAAGCCAATTGGAATATGGGGATGGTTAGGAGGCCATGATGGACAGAGACCAGTGGGCAGATTTGGCCAGGATGCCGGGGTTAAACCCCTACTCTTTTTCGAAGGACATCCTGAGATTTTTAAGGACCACAGAGAGTCGGGACCTCGATTTAATGTCTCATCCGAAAGACGGCGCTCACTGAGCAGTATAGCGTCCCCGTCACTATAATGGGGCATTAGGACCCACACAGACCGCAGGTTGGGCGCCCCCTTCTGGCCTCACTAACACCACTTCCGGCAGCAACCTAGCTTTCCCATGTGGTCTCCCATCTAGGTACTGACCGGGCGCAGCCCTGCTTAGCTTCATGTGAGAGTTGCGACCATGTGAGAGTTGCAGAGAGCTAGCTGCCTTCATTCATACTTCTGCGTGCTGTTTCTGTTGCTCTGCAATAACACTTCAGAAACGCTAGTTGGCAGTAGGTGTTTTATGTTCCTGTGTCGAGTTTCTTCCCTGGGGTTTTTTTTTTTTAACGCTTCCTTAATGTACAAGTGGTTCAAACTCACTCAAATCTGCAGACGTGCAACAACTTTAATTACAAGGTAAACACAAAACAAACTTTTTATCTGGAGCTAATTAACGGGACTCGACACTTGTAAACAGTCGCTCCAACGGACTTGCGTGACTCTCAGTCCTGCCCACACTTATCAGCGCGACCAAGCCGACCAATCACAGAGCTTGCACTATGTGTTGTTGCGACGTGAAGTTACATTTTTTGAGAGGTGCACGTCAGCGACGGCCACGCCGAGGGCTATGCGTCCACATGTAGGCTCTGCCGTAGCATACACGTGCGCTTGATCCAGAAGTATAAATCAGCCTTCAGTGTTGATGAACGTGCCCAACTAAAACAATGTATTACACTTGCAAAAAATTTCCCGAAAGATGGTTTTGGTAAAATAAGGCACTGGTTATCATGCTGATAATAGGTGCAGATCTTCATTTTTGTAAAGAGTTTGTTTTAAATCCGGTAATTTAATGCTGGGCGCGTGATCGCGATTGACAGTTGTGATAGACAGTTTCTCTAAACAGACCGTCGGAGCTTCAGGAGGAGATTGAAGTGTTATTATTTGATTTCTGTGTTATTTTATCATGATAGAATGAGTTCAGCACTAAACTATACTTTTTGGCCTACAGGATCTGATAGATCACTGTGTATTCGGTGAGGCCGGGGCTTTATCGGGTTTTATTATTAGTTTGCTGATACACGCCTCACCATGAAGAGGGACAATACAGCTGATTGCTATCTAGCAGTAATTCTTTGAATGGGTCTGAAATAATAACGGAAGACAAAACTAATGTTAGCCTAGCTCCACGTCGATCTACTGAATTTGCTGTTATAAAATTTGAAGGTTCTAGAAACAGAATTTTATATAACAAATAGTCATAAGAGAAGTATTTTTTCTTAGTCCAACTCAGGCTAGGGTGCATGAAAGTTTATTTCTGCAGTCCAACAAATATGGTTTTTATTAAATAATTAAAAACAGCTTACATAACAGTTTTTAAATCATATATTATTGCATGTTTTTAAATGTAAGTGCTTATATTTATATTAGCGAGCCTTTGTATAGTGCAGATACGGACAAGTTTGGGGGCGTGGTTAATTTGACGTACAAGCGTTTGGTTAGAAGCCTGATTCCGTGGCTCTGTCTTTTGCTCTATCAGGTAGTCCCTTCTGCGCATGCGCAGGCTCCAATTTCAGCAGTCTTTTGCGACAGTTTGTGCCCGTCATGAGATATTTTGCCTTCAAAGCGTTCAATGGCAAAAAGTGCCATTGCATTGTCCATATTTTTTACAGTCATTGGTTCAGCTACGAATCCGAGAGTAGGAACAAAACTGAAATTATGAAAATAAGTCAAGAGGGAACATAAAAAATATCCGGCTGTCATTTTGTCGCATTTCCTAATTATTTCCAAACTATATGAATTATCTGATTACCAGACACATTTGCATTAGCAAATTGTAAGTGTGAATTACTGTAAAAAAGGTGCAAAAGTGTTTCTTTATTTATGGTTTGTCAGTGTGCCCAGCACACCAACCTGATTTCAACAAGTAGGATTAACATCTATGTTGATCCTGGAACAACATTCCAATTAGCCAATTAGAATTACGTTTATGTTAAGTTTAGGCATACGGTTAGGTTAATGTACTTCTACATGATTGTTATCCAACTATTATTCCCGTCCGATTTAAAGGCTTGGACATTGCGAGTGTTGACACATAAATATCTAGGGGTCGTTATTGACAATATGTTGACATTTCCACCTAACACTCAGGCTGTCTATAAAAACATCCAACAAAGACTGAGAAAAACTGTCATTTCAGGTTTGTGCCTCTATGATGACACTATTTTATAAACTAATTAATTGCATCTGTTTAATCTTTCTGCATTGTAGCTTGGTACGGTTATCTGAGTGTGTTAAATAAGAACAGGTTGAGTAGCCTGGTGAAGGTGGCAGGCAAGATCATCGGCTTTGACCAAACTGGTACAATGGTAATATACCATTCTGGTGTTTTATAGAGAGCTCAGGGTATCCTATGCACCCGGGATCACCTGTTGTACTCTGTGTTTCAGCCGTTGCCATCAGGACGTCGTTTTAGAATTCCTATTTGCAAGACAATTAGAGTTAGAAGCTCTTTTATAATGGTGGCCATTAGGGCATTAAATAAGTCTGGGGGGAGGGAGATGCACCTACAAAATGATATATTGTATGTTGTTTGGTAATATTTTGTTTATGTGTACATGGAACTTCACCTGTGCTACGGCACCCTGCTGCAATTTTACTTTTCCTAAACGAAATAAAGTAATAATAATAATAAATAAATAAATAATAATAATAAAGAGTCTGAGTCTGATTTGGCAAAATCATGACGTGCGTGTGCAGCACTAGTTCGGGTTTCACTTGGTGAAATGACAATTCAGAATGCATGCGGTTATGGAAAGCTACGTCCATTCACACAGGCGTAGATCATAAAGTACATTTTAATTTTATTCTGTCTGCTGTCATCCATTTGGTGTGTTCATGTGCAGATTTTTTTCCAAATGTGGTCGACGAAAGGCAACAAATATAGTTTTATTTTTTTATTTACTTATTATTATTCTTATTATTTTATTATTATTATTATTATTATTATTATTATTATTATTATTATTATTATTATTATTATTTTTGTCACCGCTAGTTCTTTGACATTGGCTTGATGTGGATCAAATCACAGGACCAAATCGTCTTTCATTTTTCCCAGCAATTCTTATTGTAGCAATACTTTATCTATATTTTTTCTATATCAACACATAATCTCTGTGATTCAATATATTATTCAATATATAGAAATGCACTTTAATCATCTGACGGCCTAAATAAATGTTTAGGACAAACAGCTTTGAGATGAGCGCTGATAACTGAGAACTTAACATTGCTAACAAGCTTAAATCAGGACAACGTGTCCCGGAAAAGTGAACGGGCATGTTGTTTTGACATAAAAACCCCATTCCCAGGACTCAAAACAGTGTACCTCACCACACTTAATTGTTTCGTAATCATCCTGTTCCTTTTGCAATTACTGTAACTGTCAGTTTTTGTTCTTTGCCATTGGAGGACAAAATCGAGAATCTGTTTTTTGCCTATTTTGGGTCTCAGCGTCAGCTATGTCCTGTTCAATTATGACCTCATTTTGGGAGTGCTCAGTAGGGGTCAACGAGACGTGCTGGGCCAAATGAGGCGGGAGGGCTGTTTTGGGGCAGCGCCTCCACCCCGTACTTGCCCAGAGACTTTCATTAAGCCCCCCAACACCCACCAATTCCCCACCCCTTTCATCATCTTCCCTCTCTTGTGTTCCAGTGCCACATGTCCACCCACGGACAGAGGGGCGAGTGTTGGTGCGTCAACCCTTACACTGGTGTCCAGATACCCTCGTCCGATAAAGTGAGGGGGGACCCCAACTGCAGCCAATACTACGGCGGTCCCGAACTGGAACCACCCACCGCCCAGCAGAAATAGATGCACTCTTGCCCATAAGGGAGACGACCTGGGTGTTAAAGCGAGTGCAAGAGTGATGTGCATGTGTGTTATTCTGTACTTGTATGTGTGTGTGTGTAAATTTTCGAAACAGTGTGATCCTGTATTGTCAGTAGGAGTGTGGAAAGTCACATGCCAGCAAAGACAAGTCAAGGACAGGTATTGTTAAACCTCCCACTTCTCAAATCCAGATATCTGGGCTCCAAATTTAACCCTGAGTGATTGTTATTTCGGCCTATTTATAGGCTTTGTCCGGTGCCTTTTAATCTTGTGACTAAATCTGGTTGCAGGGTGTCGCTTATACAGCATTTGCAGCTGTTCATTGTAAAGATGCGTCCGTTTAATTCTGCCCTTTGTTTTTGGAGACCCAATAAAAAGGGTGGCATGTTTATTCCACAGTTGATCACCAGAAACAAACCAAGGCGAATGCACAAGAGCAGCAACTTGATATTGATTTAAAAGATTTGAAACCAAAAATTGTCACTTATTGATGGTAGGGTTGTCACAAAGTCGGAATTCGATACCAATCAGTACTGAAATTTTAAAAACATCCATTTTCCGTGAACATTTTAGCACCGTGGAACCCATTCTCACAGAAATGACTGTTATTGGCCGTGAAGTCTTACCGAGCTCATCGCTGTTTGCTGAGAGTAACCACAAATACAAGGACACTTGAGCATTTCGAAGTCACTTCGATCAGATAGTTTGTCTATAAGCTGACATACGAGCGATCCGCTAACGAATCGTGGCTCTAAAACAATCCAGTGTCCCTATATCTCTGGTTACACTCTGTAAACATCAGTGAGTTTGGTGAACCACTGACCTTCATGCCCAATCAGTCATTTCTATTGAGCAAGTGAACACAATGGCAAATCATCGCTGTTTATGAACGTGCTCCACAGCGCTCAAATGTTTGCCAGAATAGGACGTTTTTAAAATTTCAGAAACAATTAATATCGAATTCCAGTATCTTGACAACCCTAGTTGATGGTTGAAGTGGAGCGGTTGTGATTTGTTGTTTGATATGTAAGGATTTGTGCAGGAGAAGCTGAAAATGTGGTTTTGGGTCACATTTACTACTTGAGTACCTGACAGAAAAAACAACCTTGAGAACTTGATCGCTATTTGTATATATGCAACCAAATGATGTTCTTTTTCTGCATGCCCATGCTTTAAAACATCTTTAAATGTGACTCAAAGCCATTGCTTTTGTTTTCATTCCATTCCCTTTAGATGTAAAAACAAGCACTCAAGTTTAGGGATGCAATGACTATAAATTTTGGTTGTATGATTATAGTCTGAGAAATAATCACGGTTTTACAGTTATCTCTATTTTTTGCATTAATTGATTTCTAAACCATACTAGTTTAAAATTGTTTTAAATTTAGTTTTTTGTAGTTCGGGTCCAACTAAATATTTGTTGCCGTTCTAATAGTTTAAGTTTATTTAATTGAATATCTAAAATCAGCGGATATTATCAATGCATTTATTGGGTAAAATTGATCATTCAATGTGTCTTTGGTCATTATCAATGCACCGGCAAAAATAGACCCAGCAGCGAAACTAACGTGCCTCTGCCGCTCTCATCAGTGCCATTATTTGTAACTTTAAGTGGGTTTGCAAATCTGTGTACTTTCCATTGCTTCTTCCTCAAACTTTAGCCGTTTGCAATTCCCGCGATCACAAAAGCCCCCTGGCATCTTAACTAGGTGCGCCTGAAAATCATGAGCGTGTTGCGTTGCGTGCCCGTCCCTCCATTGGAAATAATGAACTTGCACAAGCTTGCCTTAGTTAATAGCCTCAGTCATAGTTATTCCAGTGTGCGTGGTTATTAGTCTTGGTGTACAAACTAGCGCACAGTTGGCAATATTTTGTTTAGTTGCTGCAGGTTTGTTCCATGCAGAAACGCAGTTTTGAGAAGCTTTTGCGATTAATTAACCGTGAAGAATTAAATCGCGGTTGATAGTGAAACCGATTAATCGTTGCATCCCTATACTCAAGTTGCTATGCAGTGTTACCTCAAATAGGCACTGTGGGCCGCCAAATACAAACAACAGCAAATGTACAAGAATAACAACTTGATTTAAACACCAATCCCTAATTATAATACCAAAAATTGTGACTTGGATAATGGAGAAAGCTGATTTTTTTCTGGAAACTAAGCTTTTAGGCCATTTTGACTACTTTAGTACCTGATTGGTATCTGAACCAAGCAATGTTTGTAGATAAGTATCAAACTGGCGTCTTCTCCACATGAGTTTCATGCTTTAAGACCATGCATTCAATACATTTTTATTATTTTTTTAATGTGCCTCTAAACCACTTATGTTTTTATTGTGTTGCCTTGAGCAGAAAGTCACCATGTATTCAAGTCACTGCATGGTTTTGCCGCAAATTGTTACCCTTTCTAACCAATTGGAGTATAAATGGCCTTAAATGTCAGAAACAACCACTAAATTTGAATTGAAAGCCCGTTTGGGAATATTACTAAACTTCAGCCAGCGTCATATGTTTTGAAGTTCATGCATATAAGTGAATTGTCACAATCAATAATGGTTTTGCAACTACTCAATATCTTGCCATCACTGCCCTGCTGGCTCATACACAGCACTTGAAGGGGTTCAGTGTGAAACCGTGTCAATTTAATTTTCTCTTTTATTTGTGGGGAAACACATAAAAATGGTGTTTATAGCACCATTGGTTGCTAGAAACAAACATGAACACATTGGAGATGTGGAATGATATAAAACTGAATACCAAATTATGAAACTGAAAAATTGTGACTCATTAAGATTGACATTTGTTTTTGTTTTCTTTTTGAGGAAAAAAAGATTGAAATGAAATCTTTTGGGCATATTGACTACTTGAGAAAATTAACCTTGAGTTCTTAAGAGCAGTTTGTATATATGGACCAAACGTGCATCTTTACCACATAAGTGTTGCATTTTTAATAGCACGCATTTACAAAAGCACTGCTTGTATTTCAATTGCGTTTCCTTGGGCAGCATGTCAACGTGTACTCAATTCACTGTGTGATATTGCAGCAAATTAACACCCCTCTAACCAATCAGAGTACAAAAGGCCTAAAATTTCTTAGAAACAACCACTAAATTTGAAAAATTAGGCTAATTTTGGCAAGTTTTACTGAACATCAATCAGTATCATAAGTTTTAAGATCCACTCAGTTATATTTTTAGAATTGATAATGGATTTTGTAAGTACTCAACATCTGGCATCCCTCCTCCTGATTGTAGCTAATATCCAGGGCCCAGTTTTTCAGAAAAAAATATCTGGATCAGATTGGTCAAGATTTGGAAATCCTATGTTTTGCTATCCAGGACTAACTGATCTATCTTACATTTATGACTGTTTTTTTTTAATGAACCATTGGGCTGGATCACTGCCATCCAAATTGTCACCTTGGAATTAAAAGGTTTTATCTGTCATTTTTGTCAAAATTGAGTTATCCACATATTCTTATTAAATGACAACTTCAAGAGTTTACACTTAGCTCATGATTTATACATAGATTGTTTGGCGTGCTGTCCCAGGAGAGAGCCCTGAGCTCAAGGGATCCTCGGGCCTAGGGCTCCCCCCTTTGGCAGGGCGAGGGAAAATTGAGCTCAGGTCGATCTCAAGCTCCCCCCGCTGCTGAGGCTAAGGTGAACTTCCTGAGAGTAAGACATTAGAAAAAAAGATTTAGGATAATTTTGTCTATAATTGCAACTAACCATTTAGGTTCAAAAACTTATCGTAATGAGTACTGTGAACTTAATCCATTTGAGTAAATGAAGCAATTTGAGCACAGTAAAAGCTGATAAATGAAGACAACTCAAATCAACTGAGTACTGTAAAACCCAATAAGTTAAGGCAACTCAAACCATTTGAGGAAACCGATTGATACAAACCATTTGAGTAAAAAATGAACCTATTCGAGTACTGTGAACTTACTCCATTTAAGTTGAAGTAATGAGGTATTTCAGCCTGATCTCACAAGGAAACGCAAGTATTTTACGCTTTGTCAGTTTAGTGGCTATTTCATATGAATGTACGATTTTAACCTCCCCCCCCCCCCCTTTTTTCTAACCCCAACCGTCATTGGGTAATGAGCAAATCATACTAAATTGTACGAATTAGCCAGTAAATCAAAAAGTTATGGATTGCGCTAGGTATTTAATTTACTTCAAAACTCTTTTTAAATGAGTGGAATTAACTTTCAGTACATTTTGAGTTAGCTACACTCATTTTATTTGATAAAGTTGTACTGTTGGGTTTTATAGTGTAGTTGGAAATCAAACTTTTGGCTCATTTTGACAACTTGACAGATCAATCAAACTTGAGTACAAATCACAAAGTAAATAGCACTTTTTCCGCATGAGTATTGCATAATTAAGACCATACAAAGCTTAAGATTTCACAGAAACAATGTTTAAAGGTGGCCCAATTTTCAGTCAGGGTCACGCTTTGAAGTTTACGCAATCATGTTTTTCCGTATCATACTTCCAAAAACTCCAGTTCTGGGCATCCCTGCTCCTTGCGGCTGCTAGAACTCTCTCTTCTTGTTCTGCCTCGCGACCATGTGGTAAAGTGCAGGTGGTGTATGAGTGTGTTTGTAGAGTGGGGATCAGCATTTACTAATGATGTGCTGACAGAGGGCTAGATTAGGACACAGGCCTGACATTGACAAATGCGATATAAAGTGGGTTAAGTGCCTATAAATAAACGCAGGTTTGCCTGCAGTGCCAGTGGGCTGTGCCTCACCTTGCTTCACTGGTCAGAGGTTGGCACGGGTGAAATGTCCAATGTAATGCTTGAATGCAGTAAGATGAATCGTTCTGTAAAGGAATGTGAAGCGGTGCATGGGTTTAGTCTGCTTTGTTTAACCCGTTTTTAATCCGTTTTTCACCAGCTATGTGTGCATATAGTCTTTGGGTAACACAATGCAAAAAGTTAATGTCAAGTCAATGTACTGTATATGTCATGTCATGCTCACAATTGTAACCCGTAGGGGAAATCATGTATTCAAATGCAAATAATAAAGCAAGCTACAGTCTGAATTTGGAAATCAAAATCTATTTCAAACCTGGATATTAATTGTTTTAGGACTCCTTTTAGGATTTCAAACCGACCAAAAGTCATATCCTGAACTATTCCCAACAAGCAACTGTGTGTTTATTAGATGTGTAATAGACATCTAAACAAAGACGGCTAGGCTAAAACAAGGCTAAATTTGGGATTTCAGTGATAATCTATCTGATGTCTAAGAATAGCCCAACAACATGGATTAGACAGACTAAACTTTTGTAGGCTTTCATTCCTTATTATTTGATGACTATTCATACTATTTGATAACTATTTGATGACCATTTTAACCCAATTTTATCCTCGTTAC